ATCTATACTGTAGAATTAATGCAGTTTAACATCACTTTGACTGTAATGGCTCAATGCTATGGAAACTTGGGAGTTGTAGTTTTACAATATCTTTAGCCTTCTCTGCTGAAGAGTGTTGGTGCCTCACCAAACTACAAGGAGCCAGGGTGGCACAAGGGTTTAACCTGCTGAACTGAAGGTTGCCAGTTCGAATTCACAAGATGGGGTGAGCTCCCGTTTGTCAGCTTTAGCTTGCAGAGACATGAGAGAAGCCTCCCAGCAGGATGGTAACACATCTGGGCATCCCCTGCTCAACGTCTGTGTAGACGGCCAATTCTCTGGCATTATTTTAAAAAACGAACTACAATTTCTACGATTCCATAGCATTGAGTCATGACTGATGCCAAACTGCATTAGTTCTGCAATTTAGATGCACTCAAAGTGACAGTCAAAAGTAAACATACACAACCTGCAGCTTCTCTGTTCGTTTTGAATAATTTCACCTTGACAACTTCTTTTTCTTTAAAAACATATTTATTTGAAAAAATGTGCACAATAAAAAGTGCAAATTGGTCTTCATTAACAGGTGAGAGTAAAAATAAAAAAGGTCAAATGTGTACCAAAACAAGAAGTGTGTACCATCTGCATGTGCAATGCCCTTAAACCAATGTGATCGACACGTAAACTAAAACAAGCTTTAGCAATAATGGAAAACAATTTAAGCCAAAACTGTACATGTCCTTAGGCTGACAAATGGTGTGAAGAGTAAGGTAGCTTTCATTCTCACGACTGCATTTGAAAGCTAAGTTGAGTGTCAGTCAGTTGCTGAGTTCAATTTTTTCCAGGACATCCTTGATAAGCATCAATTTTATGCACATTTTTCTCTTCCTCTGGGCTGCCTGCAAACCATCACTTCTTGACATGAGATTAGCAGTTCCTGATGGATAGGAATCAAGCTTCCTGGGTGTGTAAATCACACAGTTCTTCCCCACCAAACCATCCCAGCACCCTTAAATCAAGTAAAACAGTTATGCTTAGAAAAGTAATATTTGAGTGGAACCTCCATCACTTTCCCATTGGTCATGCTGACTGGGAATCTAGGGATAAAGTAACTTTTCCAAGCTCTGCTCCAAACAAAGCCAGAGTACTGAAGGAGGATGGAAACAAGGGCTTAACTCAACCCCTTTCCACTTCTTTGTTGTTGAAAATATCTTGCCTCTACCAACTACTTCTCCTAGGTCAGCATTTCTCACCCTGGAAGTCAGGACCCCTGGGGAGGGGTGGTCATGAGGGGGCTTCAGAGGGGTCATCAAAGATAATCAGAAAACATATTTCTGATGATCTTAGGAACTCCTTTGCCAGAGAAGGCTGAAGATCTCTCTACCTGTCCTTCTCTTCCTTTTTGGAAACAGACGGTGAATCCTCCCACCAAAAGCCCTCTTCTGCTGTGATTGCCCAACCTCTCAAATGGCCTCTTGGCCAAGGGGAGGGCGGTTTCGGAGACTCCAAGAAGGGAGGGGAGAGCAGGCATTCATGGCTCATGGCAGCATGGTGTGCATGTGCAGGCGAGGAAGAGCGTGCAAGGCTGGAGGGGAAGCTCGCTCCAGCGAATCACTTCAAGACATGATGGTTCTGTGTGGGAAGTTTGGCCCAATTCTATCACTGGTGTGGTTCAGAATGCTCTTTGATTGTAGGTGAACTATAAATCCCAGCAACTACAACTCCCAAATGTCAAGGTCTATCCCCCCCCCCCAAAAAAAAACTCCACCAGTGTTCACATTTGGGCATATTGAGTATTTGTGCCAAGTTTGGTTCAGATCCATCATTGTTTGAGTCCACAGTGCTTTCTGAATGTAGGTGAACTACAACTCCAAAACTCAATGTCCACCAAATCCTTCCAGTATTTTCTGTTGATCATGGGAGTTCTGTGTGTCAAGTTTGGTTCAATTCCATCATTGGTGGAGTTCAGAATGCTCTTTGATTGTAGGTGAACTATAAATCCCAGCAACTACAACTCCCAAATGACAAAATCAATCTCCCCCTCAAACTCACCAGTATTCATATTTAGGCATGTATTTGGTATTTGTGCCAAATTTGGTCCAGTGAATGAAAATACATCCTGCATATCAGATATTTACATGTTGATTCATGGGGGGCTTGGGGGGCTTCAGCCCCCCCCTGAAATTCTCATGGTGGTCCACAAGAAGGCCTTACTGGTACATTATTTAGACTGTTATGTTTATTCATATCATGATCTGATCACCATGCTCAATATATCCCATATGCATGGGGATATTGGGGTAATGATACAAAAGGTTTGCTAGGCTAGACCCTCTTTCACTCAGACTCAGCCCCCCCGAAACTCAGCCCCCCCCGAACCCCCCCTGAAAATTTTTTAGCCCCCCCCCCCGAAACGAAATCCTGGCTATTCCTGCATATCAGATGTCTACATTACAATTCATAACAGTAGCAAAATTTCAGTTACGAAATAGCAACTAATATAATTTAATGGTTGGGGGGGGGGGGCACCAAAACATGAGGCACTTTATTAAAGGGTCGTGGCATTAGGAAGGTTGAGAACCACTGTTCTAGGGTGTATCCACACAGTAAACATAATTCAGTTTGACATCACTTTATCAGCCATGGCTGAATGCTATGGAATCCTGGGATGTGAAGTTTTGCAAGGTCTTTAGCCTTCTTTGCCAAAGAGTATTTGTGCCTTGGGTTGTTGTAGGTTTTTTCAGGCTGTATGGCCATGGTCTAGAGGCATTCTCTCCTGATGTTTCGCCTGCATCTATGGCAAGCATCCTCAGAGGTAGTGAGGTCTGTTGGAACTAGGAAAAAACCAGACCTCACTACCTCTGAGGATGCTTGCCATAGATGCAGGCGAAACGTCAGGAGAGAATGCCTCTAGACCATGGCCATACAGCCCGAAAAAACCTACAACAACCCAGTGATTCCGGCCACAAAAGCCTTCGACAATATATTTGTGCCTTGCCAAATCACAGATCCCATCATTACACAGCATTGAGCCATGGCAATTAAAGTGCTGTCAAACTGCATTAATTCCCCAGTGTAGAAGCATTCCTAAACTGTCTTGTGTTTAGAGATACAAGATACCAGTCCCTATATCACTTCTGATGCGGAAGGAAGAGGTTAAACTGTCCTTTTTAAAATAAACTATACAGTTTGATACAGGAAACCACTTACAGCTGTTTTGAGTGATAAAAACCCATACAAGTTATGTGACCTCACATCAAGCATATTTCTAGATAATGGAGAAATGAGGAACATGCAATAATTTGCAATGCAGGCCAAAGCTGCTTATTACCAACAATGTGGCCTTGGCTGACTGAGGATTTATGGAGTTTTAGTTTGCCGGATTGGTAGAGGGCTGCACCATTGGGTGGGATTGACTCTCCAAAACATCCTTCTTGTCAAAAGAGTGGCCTTTTCTTCTTTTCTTCCCTATAAGGCATGAGGCAATGTCTAGAGCAGTTCACTTTCAGGGAGGATAGCAAGCAATGGGACACATGATTAAGATTTATAATGTTGTTTGTAGTATTGAGAAAACAGAGAGAACTGTTTTCTCTCGCATAATTCTTGAGACCCTTTAGCTTCATGGAAGTTAAATTGGTGTCAAACCGCATTAATTCCATAGTGTAAATGCACCCTAGATTAGGCATAGGCAAACTTTGGCCCTCCAGGTGTTTGGACTTCAACTCCCACAATTCCTAACAGCCGGTAGGCTGTTAGGAATTGTGGGAGTTGAAGTCCAAAACACCTGGAGGGCTGAAGTTTACCAATACCTGCCCTAGATTAAGCTTTGTGGCAGATCCCACATGGCTCCTCTTACACTCTTATTTTATTGTAATTATGCTTATACAAATTTCCTCAGGGCTGCTATTTGGCTAACCCTGCAGGCAAATGACACAAAGCAAAGTTGAGGAATAGGAAAATAAAATGCCAGTATTAAAATCTGTAGGAAAATCACATTCAAAGCACCCCCGACAGATGGCCATCCAGCCTCTGTTTAAAAGCCTCCAAAAAGGAGCCTCCATCACACTCCGGGGCAAAGAGTTCTACTGCTGAACAGCTCTCACAGTCAGGAAGTTCTTCCTAATGTTCAGGTGGAATCTCCTTTGTTGTGGTTTCAAGCCATTGCTCCGTATCCTAGTCTCCAGGGCAGCAGAAAACAAGCTTGCTCCCTCCTTCTTATGACTTCCCCTCACATATTTATACATTGGCCCTCATCATGTCTCCTCTCAGCTTTCTCTTCTGCAGGCTAAACATGCCCAGCTCTTTAAGCCGCTCCTCATAGGGCTTGTTCTCCAGACCCTTGATCATTTGAGTTGCCCTCCTCTGGACACATTCCAGCTTGTCAACATCTCCCAGTCCCTTCAATACTGGACACAGTATTCCAGGTGTGGTCTGACCAAGGCTGAATAGAGGGATAGCATGACTTCCCTGGATCTAGACACTACACTCCTATTTATGCAATTTGAAGCAAATCTATTCAGGGACCCAGGTTATAACAAAAGTACTCTAAAAACTACAATCTGGGTTGGATATTAGGGATGGAGTGGAGAAGACATCACACAAAGCCATGGTCTAACATTAACCTATATATCTTTGTAATTCCTGCCCCTATGAAGAATTTGGGATGTGGCTTTCTTGGTAGGTTCAGTGTCTACCCCACCTCTCCCACTTCACAGGGATTGTTCCTGGTGAACAATACAAAACTGGCAGGGGAGAACAATACCGGAACAGCTGCACACAATTCACCTTCAGATCTCCATTGGCCCTCCCGCTCTTCCTCCGCCAACAAAAATATACTGCTTCTCTTCAAGCCTGGCTGAACTGTCCTTCTATAGAGAAAAAGGATTGGTCTTCACCAACACCAAGCGCATGAGTCATGTTGAAACCATTCTCTTCTTTGAGGCTGGGTCTAAGAATGCAACTGCTGCCCTGGACCAAGAATGAGGCGTTTGCCTCTCCCTTCTGCCTGCCTGCTCCCCAACAAAAAAAAAATTGCATACATCAGGTTGCTGTGAGTTTTCCAGGCTGTATGACTATGTTCCAGAAGCTTTGATTCTGGCCATGAAAGCCTTCGACAACACAATGCATACATCAATTTTTGGTGGGTAGAAGCCTGGGGTGTCCCATTGCTGCTACTGGACTTTGTCATCTGCTTTTAACTTATTTGCTCTTGGGGGAGAAAACACAAATATTGCCTAACAACCACAGCATGGTTTGAAAAATTGGAAGCGGTCATGCAGGAATGGACCTTGATATTGGTAGGCAATGGCAAAGGGCTCCTCTTCATTGTTTTGGAAATGATAATGTCAGCAAGTGGCTGCTGGTTCAGCAACACAGGTACAAAACTGGAGGAGAAAAATAGTTCTGGCAGCCTAGCAAAGAGTGTCTGGCAATGAGTCAACAAGCAATAGTGAGATAACCTATTCACCTACTTTCTCTCCGTGGCCTACAGCCAACCCTTTCCCAAGCATTAAACATGCAAAGCCCGCTTCTTATTCTCTCATAGTTTCTCTTTGCAATATATCTACATTTCTATATGGTGATGCTAGAGGTTTGCAGGAGAAAGAAAAAAACAGAGGTTTGAACAACATTTGCTTTTTAGTATGGCTTTCATTCTACAACTTTTCCAAGCCCTAAGATGTAGGTACACTGTAGAATTAATTCTCCCACCCTGGACATTCCACAGATATATAAACCTTACCTACTTAATTTCCAACAGGCCTCTCAATCTCTGAGGATTCCAGCCCTAGATGTGGGTGAAACATCAGGAGAGAATGCTTCTGGAACATGGCCATAAACTCACAGCAACCCAGAATTAATACAGTTTGGCACTGCTTTAACTGCCATGGGTCCATACTTTTTGGTTCCCACTTGACAATATGTGACAGATAAAGTACATTTTTGATTAGAACTCCTAAAAGTGGGGACTATGGAATACGTATTCCAAAAAAGGAACATACAGGTTCTGGATGGGAGGCACAGTACACAAGGGAATTACTGGTCCAACTTTCCCCAACTTACATATCTTCCATTTTTAAATATCAAATCATCTAGGCAAAATACCCAAGGGTTGGGGGGATATGCAAAGAGGAGACAAACTGTACCCAAATAAGCAAAGTCCTTGTGCTTCCTCCTGGGGGGACAGATGGACTCTCTTTCCTTCAAAGCTATATTTTGTTGCCTGTGGAAGTGTGGGCAGAATATTTTAATTCCCACAGCAAAAGGAGAAAGCATTCCACGTTTCAAAACCTTTTTACTTTTTGGTATTCTGATAGAACATGAGTGAATGTTAAACAGTGACAAGTGAAGAAAAACCTGTAAAGAGAGGTCACAGTAGCTTCTTGGTTAAGTTCCAGCTGTACCGATGACTGCCCCTTCCAACTCAAAGTCATGATGAGTGAGATGGCCTAACATCTTTGGAGAAATAACCATCCTCAAAGGCTTTCACCAGTTGCAAGTTCCACTCAATCCTTCACACCACTTGCAATGCCGTGGCTTCTCCGTCCAACTGATACTTGATCTGGTTGAGTTCCTCCAGCTCTTGTTGGTGCCGGTCTGTCTTGTGCCCAACCAAGGACCGGTAGAAGTGCAAGGCAAATATAATGAAGACCACACCAACCGGAACCATGATGACGGTGGAGGCCATGGCAGCGTTCCACCCAGAATTGTTTGGAGGAGCCACAGTTGGAGTTGTGTCATTACCGGTAGGGACCGGCGCAGGATGACAGCACTGCCCAACAGGACTGGCACGCCCGACTGGCATAAATTTGACCCAACAGATCAGCACCACCTCGGCAAGGAAGAGAAAGATCCCCAAGGCAGTGGAGAAGCCCCAAGCCAGCTCAATATAGTGGTGCATGCGTTCGTGGGGAGACTCGTTGACCGAGTTGAGGTTGTGGATGTTGCTGACGGCCTCGATGTTGGGCAAGATGCAGGTGCTGACCATGAGGGCAAAGAGGTGGACGGCTACCAGCACGGTGGTGCAGGCACTGAAGGCGACCAGCAGCTCTCGGGGATAGTCGTAGTCCTCAAGTTGTACCTCCACCATGGCCACCTGAGTAAGGGAGTTTGGATTATTATCTCTCAAAATTGTCATGACATTTATACCCGACCTTTCCTTTAAAGAACCCAAGGTAGTATATACGGGCCAACATTCTATTATAAACATGCATAAGTTAATATGCTGAGCTTGTTGACCAAAAGGTCGCAGGTTCTAATCCAGGGAGCAGCATGAGCTTCCACTGTCAGCCCCAGCTTCTGCCAACCTAGCAATTCGAAAACATGCAAATGTGAGGAGATCTATAGGTACCGCTCTGGTGGGAAGGTAACGGCGTTCCATGCAGTCATGCCGGCCACATGACCATGGTAGGTATCTACGGACAACGCTGGCTCTTCGGATTAGAAATGGAGATGAGCACCACCCCACAGAGTCAGACACAACTGGACTTAATGTCAGGGGAAAACCTTGACCTTTACCTAAGTTAACCTTTCACTTTCCTATGTCTATCTTTTGTTGCTGCAGAGGTTGATATTCCTTTCCTCTCCCTACAGCCACCAAACCTCCCCTCTGGACTCACTGTAGGATCACTGATGCCCATCTCTCACAATTCACATCCATTCATGCTCAGCGGATAGCAGGAGGATTGCAGAAGTATCTGGCTACATAGAACCACTGAGTTCGAAGAGACCTCGTGGGCCATCAAGTCCAACCCCCTACCATGAAGTAGGAAAATCACATTCAAAGCACCCCCGACAGATGGCCATCCAGCCTCTGTTTAAAAGCCTCCAAAGAAGTAGCCTCCACTACACTCCGGGACAGAGAGTTCCACTGCTGAACAGCTCTCACAGTTAGGAAGTTTTTCCTCATGTTCAGGTGGAATCTCCTTCTCTGTAGTTGAAGTCATTGTTCCACCTCCTAGTCTCCAGGGCAGCAGAAAACAAGCCTGTTCCCTTCTCCCTATGACTTCCCCTCACATATTTATGCATGGCTGTCATCATGATTCCTCTCAGCCTTCTCTACTGCAGGCTAAACATGCCCAGCTCTAGGTTCTTGTGGGTTTTTTCAGGCTATATGGCCATGTTCTAGAGGCATTTTCTCCTGACGTTTCGCCTGCATCTATGGCAAGCATCCTCAGAGGTAGTGAGGTCTGTTGGAGTTAGGAAAATGGGTTTATATATCTGTGGAATGACTGGGATGGGGTATATAAACCACAGATATATAAACCCATTGTCCTAACTCCAACAGACCTCACTACCTCTGAGGATGTTTGCCATAGATGTAGGCAAAACGTCAGGAAAAAATGCCTCTAGAATATGGCCATATAGCCCGAAAAAACCCACAAGAACCTAGTGATTCCAGCCATGAAAGCCTTCGACAATGCATGCCCAGCTCTTTAAGCCACTCCTCATAGGGCTTGTTCTCCAGACCCTTGATCATTTTAGTCTCCCTCCTCTGGACACATTCCAGCTTGTCAACCTCTCCCTTCAATTGCGGTGCCCAGAATTGGATACAGTGTGATTCCAGGTATGGTCTGACCAAAGCAGAATAGAAAGGCGGTATGACTTCCCTGGATCTAGACACTATACATCTCCGTATCTAGATGCAAAATGATGACCTCATAAAATCATAAAGAGTTGGAAGAGACCACAAGGGACATCTAGTCCATCCTACAGCCATTCAGGAATACACAATCAGAGGATTCTCATCAGATGGCTATCCAGCCTCTGCTAAAAAGTCTGCAGGGAAGGAGGCTCCAACACACTTCGTGGCAGCTCATCCTTCCTAATGTTAAGATTGGAATCTTTTTTCCTTCAATTTGAATCCACTGGCCCATGCCATAGTTTCCAGACCAGCAGCAAATAAACTTGGCCCCTCCTCAATGTGACATTATTTCAAATATGCTTCTCATGTCACCTGTCAGCCTTCTTTTCTCCTAGCTAAACATATCCGGCTCCCAAAGCCACTCCTCGTAGGGCTTGGTTTCCAAATTTTGATAATTTTGGTGCAGCCTAGAATTGCATTGGTTTTTTCAGCTGCTGCATCATACTGATGACTCGTGTTCCGCTGCTGGTCTACTAAGACTGATTAATCTCCTCTATATAGTTTGATCAGTGTCTTTAGTTTTCAGCTATACTATCTCTTTGCAATGGTGATCATTGCCAAGCAAATGGGCTCGCCTGGTAAGGAGCTAGGTCCTGGATAGGAAAATGCTCCCAATTTGGATACAAATCATAATAGATTCTGCCAGGAGCCTCCAGTGGTGCAGTGGGTTAAACCCTTATGCCAGCAAGACTGCTGACCAAAAGGTAGGAGGTTCAGATCTGGGGAGTAGAGTGAGCTCCCACCTGTCAGCTCCAGCTTCTCATGCGGGGACACGAGAGAAGCCTCCCACAGGATAGTAAAAATCCAGGCATCCTCTGGGTAGCATCCTTGCAGACAGCCAATTTTCTCACACCAGAAGCGACTTGCAGTTTCTCAAGTCACTCCCAACGCGGAAAAAAAAGGAGATTCTGCGTAAACATTACAAATATTATTATTGTAAGGGCTGACAGTGGAACACATTGTCCCAGAGTGTGATAGACTCTTCTTCTTTGGTGGTCTTCAAATTTGGATGGGCTTCCTTTTGGATGCCTTGTTGTGTATCTTTGGAGATTTCCATCTTTCTGGAATGTCTTAATTGCATTCCTGAATGGTAGGGGGTTGCACTAGATGATCCTTGTAACACTTTCCATCTCTGAGATCCTATTAATTTAGGATCCAGTCTTGCCAGGCCCACAATAATTTCAGATATGAATGGGAAAATATGACTGTGCACAGTGTGCTTTGTTTTCCCCGTTGCCTCTTACTGTTGAGACTGAAAGTCACTTTGGCTGGTCTTAAAACACAATTCCTATTAAACCCCAAGTTGGCACAAAGAGCCTTTTTCCAAGGATCTGGGGGAAATGCCCCCTATCTCAGCTCCAACTTTGGCTTCAATCCCAGCTCATTGGCATTTTCCCCAGAGAACTGGGAGCAGGATAGGGGAGTGATACAGAAAGGAAGGATTTAACCCATGCTGCCCACTTTAAGAAGCATATAGCAAGGTTAGCCCTGTCACCCCAATATCACAATTAAGGGGCTATTCGGCCAGCAGGGAACTCTTAAACACAGCAACATTGAGGCGTGGATTCAAATTATTTGAGAAGCCAAGGGAAGCAGGACGAGGCTTATTTTCAGAAAGTGGGCCATGTTCAACAGAGTAGTAACAGCTGCTTGGCATAAAGGCTCCATAAAGTGGGTTGTGTTGGAGACTCAGACGGAGCTGCCAGGCCGTGAAAAGGAGAGAGTGGACAAGACACCCATAATATGGTCATTGGGTTGTTGTAGGTTTTTTCGGGCTATATGGCCATGGTCTAGAGGCATTCTTTCCTGACGTTTCGCCTGCATCTATGGCAAGCATCCTCAGAGGTAGTGAGGTCTGTTGGAACTAGGAAAAAGGGTTTATATAGCTGTGGAAAGACCAGGGTGGGACAAAGGACTCTTGTCTGCTGGAGCTAGGTGTGAATGCCTCCACAACAACATAGAGGAAACAAACAAGGACATCTAATCACCTCTCAACAAAAGTTTGCTCCAGGCACTGTCAGGCCATTATATGCTAATCAAGGTGGTCAGTTGAAACATTCACACCTAGCTCCAGCAGACAAGAGTCCTTTGTCCCACCCTGGTCATTCCACAGATATATAAACCCTTTTTCCTAGTTCCAACAGACCTCACTACCTCTGAGGATGCTTGCCATAGATGCAGGCGAAACGTCAGGAGAGAATGCCTCTAGACCATGGCCATATAGCCCGAAAAAGCCTACAACAACCCAGTGATTTTGGCCATGAAAGCCTTCGACAATATGGTCATTCTTTGTGCTTCATGGAAAAGCTCCATCTAAGAATAATTGGATGAGAAACCCAGAATTGCTGCCCAGCCATGCCAATGGGCACTATGGCATTTCGACCAAGAATTCAAGTCCTGGCTCCTGTAATCCTGTAATTCCTTCACTTTTTTCCATATGCCAGAGGCTCTTTCCCTTAGAGCAGTGGTTCTCAACCTTCCTAATGCCATGACCCCTTAATATAGTTCCTCATGTTGTGGTGACCCCCAACCATAACATTATTTTCGTTGCTACTTCATAATTGTAATTTTGCTATTGTTATGAATCGTAATGTAAATATCTGACTTGCAGGATGTATTTTCATTCACTGGACCAAATTTGACACAAATACCCAATATGCCCAAATTACAAATTGATTTTGTAATTTGGGAGTTGTAGTTGCCCAGTTTACCTGTCTGAACACATCTCTCCCTATGAACCATCTAGGTGCTTGAGATCATCTGGTGAGGCCCTGCTCTCAGTCCAGCCCCCTTCGCAGATGCGATTGGTGGGCATGAGAGACAGGGCCTTCTCAGCGGTGGCCCCTCGGCTAAGGAACGCCCTCCCTAGTGATATTAGATCGGCCCCCTCCCTCCTAATATTTTGAAAGAGACTCAAAACCTGGCTGTTTGAGCAGGCATTCACAGACGCAGTGTAACAGACTAATTGAGATCCACGGAACGATTGGACGATGCGACGGAAAAATGATTTTAGTGATGAGATGCTGAGGACTTTTGATTTAAGGTTTTTATTGTTTTATTGCTTTCATATAGTTTATATTATATGTCATGTTTTTAACTGTATTTATGTTGTTTGGGGTCATTGATTGCCAACTGTAAACCGCCTCGAGTCGCCTCCGGGTTGAGAGGGCAGTATATCCATATGGTCAATAAATGAATAAATAATAGTTGCTGGGATTTGTAGTTCACCTACAATCAAAGAGCATTCTGAACTCCACCAACAATGTAATTGAACCAAACTTGGAATGCAGAACTCCCATGACCAATAGAAAATACTAGAAGGGTTTGGTGGGCATTGACCTTGAGTTTTCGAGTTGTAGTTCACCTACATCCAGAGAGCACCGTGGACTCAAACAATGATGGATCTGGATCAAACTTGGCACGAATACTCAATATGCCCAAATGTGAAAACT